TGTGTGTGTGAGTGTTTATGTGTGTGCCTGTGGACGAGTAGTTGCGTAAGTGTGCTTTGTTTGTAAATGTGTGTTTGCTATATGTGATACTATTACTATTATCGTACAAACAATATCATAAGGCCCTTTGTGCAATCGGCAGAGAAAAATGCTGTATAGGCTAAGCGTGGAAGACAGAGAGGAGGGAGATAAAGACAAACACAGAGAGAGAGAGAGAGAGAGAGAGAGAGAGAGAGAGAGAGAGAGAGAGAGAGGGGTGATTTGAGCGTGATAGAGTGGTGTGAGGCTGAGAGAGAGAGAGAGAGAGAGAGAGAGAGAGAGAGAGAGAGAGAGAGAGAGAGAGAGTGAGTGATGCGGGGAGGGGTGGGGACGAAAATGAACGAGGTTGTGAAAGAAGTTACAGAAAAAGAATTCCAGCTACGAATATGTCATACTTTTTATAAACACTTTCTGGTCGTAAATGGACTTCTATGTAGATGGACTATCAAACTACAACAGTAAACAATGATAGACAGTTTATAATATTATGCCATCTCAGTCAATCTGTCTTTTGCTGTCTGTCTATTCTTCCATCAAGTATTTCTTTCTTCTGTTAGTGGTAACGTTGTCTTGGCAAAAATGTGTTTGTATAATTGACAAAAGTGTTGTTTCTATATTGTTTCACATTATTGTATATATCATGAGTACGTAATTCTTTAAATTAAGACATGATGCGACGCAGAAAATGACAAATAGGCTGTTTCTGTTGAGCGCTTTCAAGTCCATATGATGAACTTTAAACCAGTTGTATGTTGTATGTAAACAAATAAAACAATAAATATTCCTTCATTTAAATTTTATTGGATGTTCTTATTTTTTCACTTCTTAGAGAAAATAAATGTTTGTTTGTTTGTTTGTTTGTGTTTGCTTGTCTGGGTTGACAAGAAGCAAATTTCTATATTCACGATGACAAAGGGGTTCTCGTAGCCTAGAGGTTAAGGTGTTGGCCTCTCATTCAAAGTTGAATCAAAGGTCCCGGGTTCGAATCCGGGTAGTGACCGAAAAATTTTCTTCTCTAAATTTGTCTTCTTTCACCTCCTTTCCTGCTCTCTAGCAATGTTCTGTCGTCTGCTTTCGTCTCCTCTTTCTGCCCCCACTCCCTCATCTCCTTTGCCCCCCTCTTCTGGCCTCTGATTCTTTCTACAGCCTTTCTACTGCCACTCCTGAGCTTCTTCTTACTGCTGTCTTTCAGCCACACCCCTGATCTTCTGGTAGGAAAGATCTACACCTAACCTTCTTGGACAAGGGCGAAAAATCTCGGAGGGCCCGTGTGCAAGTCGCGCACGTTAAAGATCCCTTGGTGGTCTAAAATCGATAAGAGTAGGCTTCAGCTGCCACCCGGGCAAAATTCACAATTTTCCTACCTACTGAAAAAGTTTAATGTGTCCCGCGCGCTAATATGACCTTATGCAGTTGCGAGCGCCGTAAAACACTTACAAAAACAAGACAATGACAAAGGCTCAGTAAGTATTATGTTAGGTTATGGGGCGGCTGACCCTGCATCTTGGTTTCTTCGCGCTGACCACAGTCTCGTCACGGATCATAGTACAGAATTCGAGCAAACAGACATCGTTATAAATACCAAGTGTTCATAATGTATATATACCTCCATGGAAATTGAATCCCCTTCTCCTTCAATCAAACTAGAGTGTGGGAACTGTCATCCGCCCCATTAAGAGGGGAAACACAGCCATCTGTGCGGACCAGTCCGACGGATCTCCAACCAGATCATGATGGAGACTATAAGTAGGCAGACTCTGGGATGGTTCCTGAAGAGGAGGGGGGTGGGGAGCAGAGATGGACATGTTCCGACTGCAGTGACCCCAGCACAGTGGACAAGTAAGACAAGTAAGTAAGATATCTCCATTGTTCTAGCTCAAGCTATTTCTTTATACTCGAAGGATGTATAGTGTACTTGCTCATTTGCAGTCGGTCTGAAAAGCCAAATTATTATAGAGTGCATGTGCGTGTTGGAAGAGGGGTGGGGGGGGGGGGGGGGTAATTTCCTTTAGTAAAATTAACCTTCAGCTCTCCATTCGGAAATTTACCTGACTTTGTAATAAACACCCCCCCCCCTCCTCTCTCTCTTTCTTTCTTTCTCTCTCTCTCTCTCTCTCTCTCTCTCTCTCTCTCTCTCTCTCTCTCTCTCTCTCTCTCTCTCTGGAGCCACATGTGTGTCATCTTAGCGTCATGAGAGAAAGACCATTTGAACGAGGATTCCAAGTGTATGTTTATCATGCCCTCAATGTCATGCTCACTCATACTGCACAGGAACAACATGGGAAAACTGATGCTTGTTCTTTCCTCATCCTTACTATCGTCATTTTCCTTGTAGTTCTTTTGTATGTTTGTCACTCTCTTGTTAACTGTTATTCCAGGTGTGCCTTGATAGTCGAAGCAAACTTTGTGCTGTTGAGGCTAGAGAGGTGAGCAGAGTAAGCCTGATTCCCCATTTGGACTTTTCTGTTGACATCCACCCCTTGGCGCTCATATGACCTTATGCAGTTGCGAGCGCCGTAAAACCATACTAAAACTAAACTAATGCCCTTGATTTGACCCTACTAAGGTGTTCAAGATGAAAGCAAAACTGAAAATAAAGTGATCTCAAACCACAGCACGATTTTAAAAGCCCGTCTACCAGCAAGCCTTTTCTTGAATTAACAGAAGAACGAGAAGATGACCATTTTTATGTCTTATTTGTTAGGTGCAAAGGTTTTATGATAATCCTGTTATAACTTGAATGAGTGTTCTGGTCTAATCGGACCAAGACACATACTGGTGAAGTAACAGGCGTGTTTTCAAAAACATAGTTGTCTTGAAAACTGAGTCGTGGTAAATAAATGACAATAACTCATGTATTCTTTACTATTTCTTCTTTAAAGTTAGAGTCACTTGTATCAACAACGTAGAATTAATCTTTATAATATCATAAACACATAAAACATTTCTCCATATTATTGGGATTCCATTTATTAAGTCTCATAAATTTTTGTAGGGGTTATAAGGAATACCAGTAATCTTAAGAGCGTTGTTAGTCCTCAAGTGCACAAATAAATCATATAAAAATAAAGAGTAGAATCTAACAATACGAACCGCTATATCACGGCATGTATAAAAATGGGTTGGAAAAACATAAGGAATTTGACTGCTTTCTTTACTACAGGAAACACAAAACACATACATACAAACACACACACACACACACACACACACACACACACACACACACACACACACACACACACACATTTTAATCACCAATGCAGACACGCACACGTGCATGCATGCACGAACACACACACACACACACACACACACACACACACACACACACACACACACACACACACACACACACACTACATACTAACGTTCAACTACGTACTAAAATGCTCCCACTAAAAACTCACGAACACATGATGCTCCTTTCTTACGTGCCTGACCAACGATGTTTACCGGTATAAAGGTTCAAAGTTTATAATGAATCACAAAAGACGCTTTTAAACAACGTATCCACCGTTATTTACAACGATTGCATCTGTCCCTGTCTATCTGTCTGTCTGTCTGCCTGCCTGCCTGTCTGTCTGTCTTTTTTTAGTAAAGGTTTTACGGCGCCCGCAACTGCATAAGGTCATATGAGCGCCAGAAGATTAGAGGTGTTACAAGAGAGTAACAAACATAAAAAAGAAGAAGGGGAGATAAGGACGATAGATGTTTGATAGGAAAGAAGGAGCAAAGCGCACCAGAGTACCCGCCAACCACCCTCTCTGTCGGTCTGTTTGCCAGTTTACATTTTAGCGTTCAAACACATACAGGCAGACACTAACGCACACCCGTCTTCCATTGGAGACTAGTATAAAACTCACACTCCTTGAAAAAAAAAGGATATGTTTTATAAAAATATTATGTATGTTTTAGTAGTAGACTTCTGTATTTCATGCACAAGGCAACAATAACCCATTCCAGTCAACGGACATGTCTACGGTAATTGCAAGTCAAGGAGAGTCATTTACAGTCATTTCCATATTTCAATATTACCGTACCTGAAACAAACGTCTTACGAAAAATGAGCAAAATCTTTTCCCTGGAGCATCGTACCAAAGTAGCTATAAACAGAGAGAAAACAAACTTTTTAAGCACGGCACATACCACAAGAACAGTCTGCGGTTACATTTGTTAATATTTTCCAATGAAGCAAGGCGACAGCATAACGAGGGATACCATACCCATGTCCTATCATCTCAAAGGGGAATAGATGTTGAAAAAACAAGGAGTACGTTATTGTTACATAACAATGCAAGCGTCTTTGTCTTGATAACACATCTCCTCCTTTGGGTAGCTTATCTTGTTTCTCCTCTGCCTGTCGACTGCTGTCATCGAGCACAAATACGTTGATGACTCCTGACAGACATCCCTTTGCTCGTTTTTATGCGGTAACCCGTCCGAGCCTGCCCGGTCTGATGTAGTGTTCACTTCAAGCTTGGTGGTCGCCATTGAAGTCTGCAGTGAGGGACGTGCGCACAGCGGCCAGGAGAAGAGACTCTGGCTCAGCGACAGCCTCGGTTTCTTCGCGCTGACCCCAGTCTCGTCGGAGAACCCCCCCTCGTCATCGTCCTCGGTTATCCGCGTGACGTCACACTTGGCTTGAAGCTGTCCGTCTCCATCCTCCACGCGGACTGACAAAGTCTGCCGTAACTCAAGCCACGACTTGCCCGAGCTTAACACCATTTCAAATCCATCGTCCAGCTCGGACACTAGGTCAGGTAACAACGGAGTGGACGTTGTGGTTGCGTCTGTGGTTCCAGAGTCCGGGGATGTAACGCCGTCTGCTTCAGGATGCTGCTGGTCATCGGTACAAGGAACTTGGTTGTCAGTGGTTGGCTCTTGGGCGCCGGAACTCCAGAGAGTGAGCTGTTTGCCCCGTGATAGCAATACTTGAGACGGAATGTTAAATGTCACCTGAAAACAAAACATGTAAGATGTGTGTGTGAGTGTGTGTGTGTGTGTGTGTGTGTGTGTGTGTGTGTGTGTGTGTGTGTGTGTAACTTTTCCTGGTCTTTCTCTTTAACAAGAGAACATCTTCCCCCTCCCCCACCCCTCCTCTTTTATTTCTGCCTCCTTCTTTCTCTAGATAAAATAAAATCATTGGCCCAGAAACAAAGGACACTTGGACCATGATTCTTTTTACCTTCTCTTCACCCACTTATTGATCTGTTTTGTTGTTCACGTTACAACAGTTTATCAGATAGTGTAATAGGAAGATTGTAAGTGTAGCTTTTATATAATTATGTACTTTTTAAAATATTTATTTATTTTTTATTTTTTATTTTTTATTTTCAAATTTTCAAATTATATTTTATTTATTTATTTATTTATTTATTTATTTATTTATTTATTTATTTATTTATTTGGGAGGGGGCGTGTCGGGCTACATGCGTTTTTTATTTAAAGTAGTTCGTAGTTTTCGACAAAAGCACTCTTGCCACTTATAACATATAAAGAAGCAGTGGGTAGACACCTGCGACCGTTAGATTCTGACTTTTGACCTTAGTTTTTAACACAGATTACTGTGTTAGATTAAAAACAAAGGCCAATTGTAAGCCTATATATATATATATATATATATATATATATATATATATATATATATATATATATATATATATATAATATACATTTTCATCTTGTACCTCTTGCCCAAGACAATTTGTCTGCTTGACTGTCCAGAGGCAAAGATCAGTGGTATGCTCAGTGGAGTTGACAAGAGTGATGTACTTTCCCTCTGTGTCCACCTCGTGGATTTCAATGCCTTGACTGAACTCGTTCGCTCTGAAAAGTATATTTCATGTGTCTTTTAAACTCTTACTAAGATGACAGGAACAATGACATATAAAGCAAAGGGATAAGCAATGCAGTCTCCGTTAATTGTTGTCATTGAATAAGGACAGTTATGTGTCAGCTTTTATGTGTGCAAATGCAGGGGCACACATTACAGGGGAAAATGGGTTGTTAACATGAAGAGTTGTAAATAGTACTGGAATCCAACGCGTAAAAATGTCATACTATTATTGCTGTACTTAAATGACAGCAAAATGTTTTGCCGCCCCCCCCCCCTCCCCCCAAAAAAAAATCACCACAAAGATACTTTAGCAGGTGAGTGTATCGCAGTGCCTGGCAAGACCAACACAAGGTGATTTTATTTTGTTTTAGTAAGAGTTTTACGGCACTTGAATTACAACAAGGTTATATAAGTGCCGAAGATTAAAGGTGTTATAAGAGAGTAACAAACATAAAAAAAGAAGGAGAGATCAGGACGATAGCTGTTAGATAGGAAAGAAGGAGCAAACCACACCAGAGCACCCACCAACCACCCATGTTGAGATGGACACAGCATCCAGAGCGATGTATTATTTTTGTATGGGTTTGCGAAACGATTAGATGGTTAGGCCATATAAAAGCCGAAGATCAATGTTACAAGAGGTTAACAAACACAAAAAGGAGACATATTATAAGGACGACAGATGTTTGATAAAAGAGGGAGCAAGCCACACCAGAGCACCCGCCAGCCAGCCACAGACCGAGATACGCGACAATATTTATGACTTCCCCGCGCTAAGTGACTGATCTTTACGTCACAGAAGCCGGTACATTTCTACATCACCAACCACTTTGCCACGACATACTCTACTGTAAAACAGGTATTTCAAAACAAGGAGCCTGAACTAAGAGATCGCATTAGAATTTTTTTTTAACAAACAAACAACAGCAACATCAACAGCAACAACAGTACCACCACCAACAACAAGAACAACAACAATAGCAACAACAATAAACGCTAACGATAACAACAACAGCAACAGCAACAACAACAACAACAACAACAACAACAACAACAATAGCAACAACAATAACACTAAAGATAACAAGAACAACAACAACATCAATAACAACAACAACAACACCAATGATAACATCAACAACAGCATCAGCAATACTAACAACAACAACAACAACAGCAACTGAAATAAAAGAAAAGCGATATGTCAAACACCATGATGAGCACCTGAAAAAGTCCACTTTGCTTTTCGTGGATAGATCCCTGCTGTCCCAGAGCCTGGTTTGGCTATCCTCTACACTGCCCACCAGACTCTCCGCCAGACTACTCAGCTTCCTCTTTGCCCCATCCGCCTCAGTAGAAGCTTTCGTGTCTCCGCCTGAGAGCCGGGGGAACCACCTGCGTTCCTTGGGGACGCCTGCTGCCTGAGTCTGAAATTTTATATACATATATAATAT